TTCTGGGCAACTGGAGGTATGGGGTTGTCAGATTTGTATCTGTATTATCAGCATTTCAATGTGTCCTATTGTAAGGTGGTCCACTCCAGTAGCTCTATATGCACACCAGCTGGGTTTGAGGTAGAAAAAAGCTTAGCTAGGCCATTTGGTTCCCTCTCTTCTTTTATATACCTTAAGAGGCTACCTATATCTGTAAGGAAAAATCCAATCTTTGCATCTACATGGGCCCTCCTGCAATGCATTAAGATGGAGACAGCATCCGATCTTACTAATTCTCTTCTCATACCTCTATGGGATAACTCTGTCTCAGGATCAAGGCCAGCTCCACATTTAAGACAGTTTGGATAGAAAAACGATGAACAACAATTAAAAATATAATGCAAGATGATAGACTGGCCTCCTTCAAACACGTGTAGAATAAATATCAGCTACTGCTGTCTCAGAGTTCCTTCTTTCAGTGGCTATGCCCAAGGATTCACTGCAGGTTAGGGGACAATTGGCCCATTCCAACATTCTCACCTCTAGACAAACATGTTAAGAAATATGGAAACAAAAGTCACTTTGTAGGAATTACTTATAGGTGGCTTAGTGCTTTGCATCACCCTCTCTATCTCAGTCTCAGAGAATATGGGGGAAAGAACATGGCTTTACTGTCACAACAGAAACCTGGGAGGATATCTGGTGTAATGTGAAAGAGACTTCAAGTTCTTTATCCTTGTGAGTCTTCCAGAACAAGGTATTAAACAGGTACTACTGGACTCCAGAACATTGTTTAATGCTAGATTGGCAGCACACAGCAAATGCTGGAGATGCAAACAGGCACATGCCAACCTTTCACACATCCTCCACAGCTATCAAAAAGTGCATGTGTTCTGAAACACCGTATTGCTCTCTCAACAACTTTGTCGCTATCTCTTCTTCTCCAAGCTTGTGTATTTTAGAAGTGCTGGATGAGTCGGTGTTAGAAATGGATTGCAGTAACTATTTTAGTGGCCAAAAGAGATATTTTGTGAAAATGGAAATCTGCAATTCCTCCCTCAGACACAGACTGGCTTAGCGAGGAATCTACTACTGCATTAATGGAAAAAAGGACTCTGTCTAAATAGAAATGTTGGGAAAAATATGAGGCTGTCTGGTCACACATGAAACTATTGCATACTTTTCCAGTTTAGTATATAGTTGTCCCCAGCACTCATAGGTTTGTTCTCACTTATTTATCACTTTAATAATTGATACCCTTAGGGTGACCAGATGTCCCGATTTGATAGGGGACAGTCCCGATTTGGGGGGCTTTTTCTTATATATGCACCTATTACCCCCTACCCCCATCCTCATTTTTTTACACTTGCTATCTGGTCACCCTAGATACCCTGCATGACCGCTAAGGGTTCAGGTTTGTTGGTTTGTTTTTTGTTTTTTCTTTTCCAAGTAATGAAGGTTGAATTTTGTTACTTATATGCTATTTTCATCTTCGGCGTGTATTTATATAGATTTTGTTTCATTATGTGTTTGTATTTTATAGAAAACAATAAAAATAAGAATTTGATAAAGGAAACAGACATGGCCCTCTCTACGTATAACCTGCGGCTCTCATTGCTTTCCCTGATCCACCCGTGATGCCACCTCAATGCCCCATTCATCTGCTTCTCAGCAAAACATCTTTGAGCTTCCTTCTGGGCCACCCCCGTCTTTGTGTAACCCTTTCCTGAGCTGGCCCACTAAGCCACGGCCTTCTCCTCACTGGTGTCTCTCCAGCCTCTTCTCAAAGCCTACCGGAAATTAGCCAGCTCAGACTCTTAGCTCTGCTGTGCCGTACAGCAGCCTGTGCTGAGAAACCACATGATCCTCTCAATGTTAACCTTCTCCTTGTCACAGTGACCCTTGGCCTGCCTGTCCCCAATGCTAGAGCTGGTCCGAACATTTTCAACTACATTTCATTTTGCCAAAATGTATTGTTTTGTCAGAGCCAGAACATTTCATGGTACTGGCTTCAGCGACATCTTGTACCCTACAGCCAGGTGGCCAGGGCACCGATGTGGGGGATCCAGGTTCAAGTCCTTGCTCTGCCTGATTCAGAGCTTTTCCATCCCAGGTCCCTCTGACTCAGGCAGCGCAGTGGCCCAAACTGGACTCTCCCACACCCCATGCTCACCAGGACACACACTCGGGTTTCAGTCCCCAAATGGACGTTTCGACAAAGGCTGTTTTCACGACCATGTCTGAAGGGGTCTGGTTTCATTCCGGTGCAGAACGAAAACAGATTTCGAAACCTCCGAGTTGCCACGAAAGGGAGTTGTCATCCTCTGGTCAGCTCTCACCAACCCCTGCATGCTGGCTCGTGACCCGACCCTGCGTCACGACCGCCAGGAGCTCGTAGCTCCTTGGGGGAGAGAAGAGGACTCTTGTGAGCTGCCTCACACACATTTCACCGCTCCGCCTTTTAATCAAATTACTTGGGCACGACGGGTGTAATTCTGGTGGTGGCGGAATACATTGGAGCTATGCCAGGGGCCAGGGTTCCACTCGTGGTGTGTAGTGGGGACGAGGAAGGACATGTGCCCCAACTGCTGGTGGTTTCTGATCTCCTCTTTGGCTCCTACGCCTCCCTGCCACATTTCCAGTTTACTGTTTGGCTGCTTTCAACTCGTGTCCATCCACCAGCTGCACGAGCCATGGTTCCTTCCTCCCCTCCTTGCCCCATCCCCCCTCCAGCTGCTAACGGGTAGGCAGGTCTCAAAGGAAAGTTTCTGGTGCAGACTTTTTTCACAGTTCCTTCTCCTAACCCCACCTGGTTCAGTGTCTCACTGGACAGCTGGGAGTGCAGAAGGGTAGCCAGGAGGCACACAGTGCCCTGAGTGGCTGGGAGACAGTGGTGGTAATGGAAGAATCAAGATCCTCTCTCCCGCTTAGGTAGCAGTGGATTCAGGGGAGTGAGAGAAAGGGGCAACTGCTCAGGGTCTGGGAGAGGGCACTGACAAGGGGAAAGTCTGCTCAGGTCCTGGAGACGACCACGGGAGAGAAGTGGCTCAGGACCACAACAGGGGGCAAGGGCAGAGAGAGGAAGATGCTGCTCTGGACTTCTGGCAATGGGAGAAGGGGTGTCATCAGACAAAAGGGACCATGGAGGGGGACAGCCTGAGGTGTGTGAATGAGATACCAAGAAGAAATGAGCTTCTCTATATGACACGTTTGCACCATTAGTAGCTTTGGGGGCTTTAAGACTGATTGCAGGTGTCTTGTAAATTCTTTCTAGGCTACAGCTAATTACCCTCTGTGAGACACAGGAAACCAAGACTGTTACCCTAATAACCCCAGACACCTTCACATGCCACCATTTGAAGATGCAGTCTCATGATTATTGGGATTCGTTTAAAGACACTTAACATCCAGGCTTCTCTTTGATGCAAGTCCTGGAGGCAGAAAGGATCTAGGTTGACAACATAAGCAATGTACCTTCCCCTGGTTTTTATACCTTTCTTTCTAATCCTGTGAAATTGTTACGAGATGGATTTATAACGTACCTACAGCTCATATAAAAAATGAAAATTAGTTCTCTACTAGTGGAACAGTAATACAGTTTAATTTGCCTACAGCTATTGTATCTGCCTTGATATGGAAGGTAATAGCAGAATATGAAATCTGTGTAGCAGAATGTAACACTGCCTAGGACTTTAGCTGGCAGAAGAATTCTGAGCAGGAGAAATATAGCACGAATAAAAGTATTTGTGGGTTGGATATATGCTAATAATCCTAGTTTATTGCTAAACACGCCATATATGGCAATGCAGTTTGCTTGGCAAATGTAACATTGTTTTCATCTCTGCTCTTAACTGCTTCATTTTCAGGAATAACGTTTGTTCATGAATAAGAGGTGCAAATTCATTATTTTCTGCAACTGGCTGTGACAACAACAAAAAAAGTTGATATTGTAATGTTCTTCTTTGGAAGCACTGATGCGATGAATATGCTCTGCACCGCATTCTGTACCTAGACACATTAAAAATCTGCAATACTTTGGAGCCAAAATAAGGATTTAATGTGAATGTTTTTGATTTGTCTTCCATCCTCAGTAATAATACTCTTTGTATGATCAGTGGCAGCTATTTTTGAGGCTACGTATGTGTGACTAGCCAGTGAAATGAGGTTTTACCACTAAGTCTGACTGTCTCTCCTCCAATGCTGAGTCCAGGACAGTGTTTCAAACGGCCACATCAGCAATGCGCGCACTTAGCACTTACTGTGCAGTATACAGCACTTCATTGTATGCCTATCTGCCAAGCCCTATGCAAAGGTTAAATAATTCACATGCGTATGATTATTCCCATTCGGATGGGCAACTGAAATACAGAGTGGTTAAAGGCAAAGATGAGGTTTTGTGCCTGGGATGGGGTGTATGTATCCCGCTCTTGGCATGGGGTGGGTGGGGATGAGAAAAAGTGCCTGTATTGAAAAGTGCATGAATAAACCATTGGTCCTCTGTAGCATGTTGGCAGCTGGGCCTCTCGCTGCAGGAAGGTTTGGGGCTGGGCCCATACCAGCCCGCATGGCAAAGCAAAAACCAGAGGGAAATTTAGCATAAAATTCCTATAAAATGTCATAGCGGTTGCCGCCAGCACCGCTCCCTCCAAAACACTCAACTGTCATCCCAATCCATCAATCACCCCCACATTCACAGTCACTGTTAATTATCCCGTTCCTGACCTGCCTCACTCCAGAGAATTGATTAATACCTGCTCTTCCCCTCACAAATTAACATCATTGCCAGTCCCTCCCACCCTCAGAATTGAGCAGGACTTCCTCTTCACCATACAGAATCCATCCGTGCTCACCCTCTACCTCCATACCACTCTCTTCCTTGCCCCAAGTCCGTCGATACTAGTCACAGCCTAGCTCAGAGTCCATCCATACCACACACGCCCGCTCCCATGGCAGTTCTGACAGGGGAAGAATTGGGAGACCATGAACTAACTCTGCTCTTTGTTTTGTGTTTTCCTACTAAGCTGGAGCATCACGACAAAGGAGAAGAGGACACCCCTGTGAAGTGGAGGTCTGAGGATGAAATGGCAGCTGAAGCAGCAAGCCTGAGGAAATATTTTCAGTGAAATCCGAGGTAAAGATTCCTAAGAGACGGTACAGATTGATTGATTTATGCAGCACCCAGAACGGGCATCATAGGGTACGTCTACATTGTGAGAAAAGACTCCCGGCACTAGGTCACAGAGCCTGGCTCAGCTGATGCAGGGCTCAGGCTGTGGGGTGATACAATTGCAGCATAGCCTTTCAGACTTGGGCTGGAGCGCGGGCTCTGAGGCCTCGTGAGGTGGGAGGGTCTCAGAGCCGAGACACCCGCCTGAGCTTGAATGTCTACATTGACATGTTTAGCCCCGCAAGCCGAGTCAACTGGCCTGGGCTCTGAGACTTGGTGTCACTGTTTTTTTATTGCAGTGCAGCCAGACCTGACAGGCGCAGACCCTGTAAGGCGTTTACAATCAAGGTTACGGGGAGCAAAAAAATGCTAAAAGCAGCAAGAGAGGGAAGGGAGCACAAGAGTCACAAAAGGAGAGACCAGGCAGTTTCTTGGGTTTGTTACGTATGTATCACTGTGGTTCCAAAAGAACGTGCTGCATCCACTATGCTCCTCGGCACCAGCTTGGAGACATACTCTCTCTCTCTCTATGTGTATATATATATATATATATATATATATATATATAGTAGTATACTACTACTACTACT